CCGGGCTGGGTCGCTGGCACTCCGTAGCCCCGGCACTGCCTGGAGCAACTCCTGACCACTGTCACAAGTGGCCCCAGAACTAACAAAGAATTCTGTTTTCTTTTCACTCTAATTTTGCAATCACCTTCTACTTGAGGCCCACAATACTGGTTTACCCATTTATCAACGCAAAATAGTCCGTGTAAAGAAAACCAGTCATTTGGAGCCAGAACGACAGTACAATGGATAGGGAGCTAGCCTTGCAATTGGTCAACCGGGATTCAATCCCTGGCATCACATAGGGTCCCCTGTGTACCCCCAGGTGTGGCCCCCAAACCCAATTCCCCCACCTTCCCATCCCCAGAAAAAAGAAAAAAAAGTAGTCATGTTTTGATCGAAAGAATGAGAGATGCATGCTGAAAGTAGACTATAGACCAAATATGATTGCCACTCAATTCCTCTTTTGCAAACTACAGCACCCAAAAGGAAAGAGAGAACAGAAGGGAATGTCCTGCCACAGGGGTGGGGTGGGATGGGGGGTGGGTGGGGGGTGGGAGGGATGCTGGGAGCATTGGAGGTGGGGAATGGACACTGGTGGAGGGGTGGGCACTCAATCATCGTATAACTGAAATCCAAGCACAAAAATTTGAAAGTCTACAACTGTACCTCATGGTGTCTCACTAATAAAAATTAAAAAAAGAGAGAAAAAAGAAAAACCCAAAGTCAGAAAAAGGTGGTTGGGTCTAGAGCGATAGCACAGCACATAGGGCATTTGCCTTGCACGCAGCCGACCCAGGTTGGATCCCTGGCATCCCATATGGTCCCCTGAGCACCGCCAGGAGTAATTCCTGAGTGCAGAGCCAGGAGTAACCCTTGAGCATCGCCAGGTGTGACCGAAAAAGAAAAAAAATAAAAAGAAAGAAAGAAAGAAAGAAAGAGAAAAAGAAAAAGAAAAAGGCGGCGGATGTCGGGCGTGGAGAGGCAGCAGGGCGGGGCAAGGATCGAAGGTCCAGCGTGGCCTCCTCCTTGCTCCTGGCCGGCCGTGTCCTGCTGCTGGTACTGACCTTTCTCCCCGTCCCCCTTGGCTTGGTGCCTTCCTGCCTTTCCTCTGCCTCACCCTGGCCTCGGACCCCTCTCCACGCACTCCCCTTCCTCCCAAGTGTCTTCCCCCCTGGAATGACCAGGACGCAGCTGACCTCATCCCTCTGGTTCTCAGTTCTGAGAAATGTATCTCTGGCCGCTGGTGCTCTGAGAATGCCACGGGGCCAAGGGGGTGATGACGCAGACCTGGAAGGTGACGGTCCTGCACCCCCGTGAGGCCTTTGGGATCGCTGTGGCCCTTGTGGTCCTGGGTCCACCCCCGTGCGTCCGGGGCGAGGGCCCGCTGCTGGCACTTGTCCCCATGCAATGAAAGTGTCACCTCCAGGCCTGTGGCACTTCTATGTCCTGACCCTGGGGATGTTGATCATACCTTGGCCCCTGCGACATTCCTCAGCCCATAGATGCCCCCCACCGTACCCATCTTCTTTGCCTACCGCGGAATGTCTGTGTCGCCCCCGGTTCATCTCTTTTTTTTTCTGCTTTTTGGGTCACACCCAGCGATGCTCAGGGGTTACTCCTGGCTCTGCACTCAGGAATTACTCCTGGCAGTACTTGGGGAACCATATAGGATGCCGGGGATCGAACCTGGATCGGCTGCGTGCAAGACAAATGCCCAACCCTACCCCTGGTTCATCTCCATCGAGAGGTCCCTGGGGTCAAACAACTGCTCCTTGAAATGCAGCACCCGCTCTAGACTTGGGGAAGCGGGTTGGGGGTGATTTCTCTAGTGGAACCTTAGTGGGGGTCATTTGCCTCCCAAAGAGAGATCCACCTCAGCGGGAGGCTGTGTGGCTGTGGTGCCCAGTTGTGTTGGCAGCGAGGGTGAGGGCAGTGGGAGTTGTTCTTGGCGTTGGGGGTTGGTTCTCAGGTCGGGGAGACGGCTGTATGCTTTGTAGGTGGATTCTGGGTTCCATCCCTGTTACTTCTCGGTTTCCCAGTACTGCTGGGAGTGAGGGGCTGGAGCGATAGCACAGCGGGTAGGGCGTCTGCCTTGCATGCAGCCAACATGGCCGACCCGAGTTCGATTCCTCCGCCCCTTTCGGAGAGCCCGGCAAGCTACCGAGAGTATTCAATATGCCAGACACAGTAACAACAAAGTCTCCAATGGAGATGTTACTGGGCCCGCTCGAGCAAATCGAGCTGGGAGTGAGCCAGAATCTCTGAGCAACCCCGGGCTGGGCTCACACCCTCAAACCCCCAATATATATATATTGGCTTTTCTGGTCCGCCTCCACCAAGGAGCAGCACAGGGTCATCCCTTGGCTCCGTTTCTTGGGTCCCAGCTCGGAGGTGACGTGTCAGCCTGATTTCAGAAAAGTAGCTCAAAGGTGAGCTCAGTTTCTGCAAGAGGAGGTCGGGCTATCCCTGCAGTTCTGGGTGAGAGGTCGTCAATTCAGCCAGCCACATCCTGTGACCTCAATCAGCCCATCCACTTTGAACACGGGGACTCCCCTGGAGTGAGGAGGTCCAAGCCCCTAGCACTGGGGGCTGAAGAGAGAGTACAGCAGGGAGGGCGCTGACCTTGCATGTGGCAGACCCCGGTTCATTCCCCGGCATCTCACAGGTCCCCCTAACCCCCAGGAGGGATTCCTGAACACAGAGCCAGGAGTGAGGCCTGAGTGTTGCCGGGTATGCCCCCCAAGCAAAACAAAACAAACTCCTAGAATTGGGGCTCTGGGCTGGGGTCATCCTCCCCTCCCCCCATCACTGACCACCGTCCCTGGCACTGCCACTGTGAGCCCTGGGGCCACCACGTGTCCCCAGCATTGCACTCCAAATGCACGGCCCTACATATGCGATAAAGACAGAGAGAACAGGCTCAGGGTGGGAGCCGTGTTCGAGTCCCAGCCCAACTTCCTGGGCCTCAGACCCGCTCTGCTAACTCACTGAACCTTTGTTCATCCACTCGAAAACGGGGACCCTGGCTGGGATTTGCGCTGTGTCAACCACACTGAAGTTGTTTTGCAACCGACATGGAAACGGAACTCCGTGCTCGGGCCGCCCACGCCGGGTTTGGAGATTAACTGGGGCAAAGGGCTGATGAGGTGGAAGCGTCAGGGCCGCAGGAATTTATGGTGGCGCCGGATTGAAGGGTTTGATACGGTTTTATTCCGCACACTTTCGGACCCGCCCTGAGTCTTGCAGACAAGAATTCCGGGGCCACGCTTCCTGGTGCCAACGAGCGGAGGGGCAAGGGGTGGGAGGGTCAGAGCAGGGGAGCAGGCAGTCAGCCCAGGGGGCGACGCTAGGTCCCTGGCAGTGAGCAGCTCAGGGGTGACCCTGGTCCCATTCAATGTCACCTGGCAGTCCCTGGAGGGAGGGAGGGAGGGAGGGAGGGTCGTGCTACTGCCCAGATGTTTCTCAGGGAGAAACCTGAGGGTGGGCACCTCTGCCCACCCACACTTGCACCCCACTCTGGAACTGCGCCCCTCCCAGTCACCTGTGAGAGGAGTCGACAGTGGTCACCCTCCTCAGCCAGAGTCCCCGCACCAGAACATCTCACGGTCCAGATCTCTCTTCGGCCGCGGCTGAACTGCGGGGAGCCGGGGAAACTGGGAGCCACATGGCGGGGCAGTCCCTGCTGGAAGGAGCAGCCACGGTCCTCACCTCATGGCTGGTCCCGCACAGCTTAGCATGACCGCACAGGGATGGTCTGCAGACACAGGGTCGGCCACCCAGCGACTAAGGCAGGGATGCATCACCGCTGGCCTGTGGCAATAACCCAGCACATGTCTTGCTTTCATTCTTTTTTGTGGGGAGCGTAGGTTTCATACCAGTGGTGCTCAGGGCTTACTCCTGTTTCTGTGCTCGGGGGGATCACTCCTGGTAGGGGCCAGGGACCATATAGAGCCCCAGGATTGACTTGGGTTGACCACATGCAAGGCAAGAAGTCCTACCCACTATCACTCCAGCCCTGTTTTATTCTTTTTATTTTATTTTATTTATTCATTTTTCTTTTTTGGGGTGACATCTGGCGATGCTCAGGGGTTACTCCTGGCTTTGTACTCAGGAATCATTCCTGGTGGTACTCAGGAGTTCATATGGGATGCTGGGAATTGGCTGTGTGCATGGAAAATGCCCTACCTGCTGTGCTATTGCTCCAGCCCCATATTCTTTTTTTTTTTTTTTAACAATGTTTGCAGGGTCTGAGTGATAGTACAGCAGGTAGGGAGATTGCCTTGCACATGGTCAACGAGGGTTCGGTTCCCAGCATTCCTTATGGTCCCCTGAGCACTGCCAGGAGTAATTTCTGAGTGCAGAGCCAGGAGTAAGTCCTTAGCATCGCCAGGTGTGACCCCCAAATTGAAAATAAAATAAAATAAAATAAAAATAAAACAACCCTTGCTTTAAAAAAAAATAAATTCCTGGAGCTTATTCATGAGCTCTGGGGCCATGTCCAAAGCAACTCAGAACAGGGTTTCACCTCGGACGGCACATGACAGATCGTTAAACCCTCCTGCCACCCTTCCAGGTCTTTCCATTACCGTCCCTCTCATGTCCCCCTCTCCAGGGACTGACCTTTAGTCTCACTCTATCCTGAGTACTTAGAATTGAGAGCAGATTAGATTCTGACCACTGGGTTTCAAGGAAAATCCCTTCTGCTGAGTTTGTTTCTTTAACTCTGGAGTGGGCAGTAATATGATACCTAATTTGATATGAAGATTAAAAATAATAATAATAAAAATGGGAGCCCAAGAGCGAGGACAGGGGATAAGAAACCGGTTTATTCGTGGCCCCACACACGGTCTCCCCGAATCAAGAGTATTCCCTGAGCGCCCCAGCTGGTGTGGCCCAGCCCACCCCTCCCCCAATAAAATAGAACACAGTCGGGGTAGGAAAGCCTTTTGCAGTGTGAAGCACCCAGGGCCCCCTTTCGGGGTTACTCCTGCCATTCAAAAGGAAGACATTCATCCATGGACTTAGAAAACATACGTGGCATTTATTTTGCTTTATAAAGTTTTGTTAAAACGCACAAGTGTAGAAATGTTTGGGGTGGGGGGGATTGGGAGGGGGAGGAAGTTTATTTTTAACCCCTTTTGGTGGCAGCGTTGGATGGGCTCAGGGTCAGCCCAGACCCTAACGACACACACCCACAGGAAGCGGAGCATCAGCCTGACCTCCAGAACGGCCTTGCGTGCATTTCTCAACTCATCCCCACCGGGGACAACGAGAGAAACTCGGCCGAGGCGACTGGCTTGGTCATCACAAGGAAGAATTGTCCTCGTCCGCCCTGTCTGTGCCTCTGTCCACTCTGGGTCCAGCTGTGGGCATCTGGAAGTCTTTGGAGAGCTGCCTGGCAGTCATGGCCTCAGTGCAGGAATTGTGGGGTTCAGGCTTGCCTCCCTCTTTTTTTGTAGCCGGATGCTCTGGGACCCTAACTCAGGAGGTGGGGTACAGGGGGAGGAATTTTCCGAGGTGGTCCCCTCTGTTTAGAGTCAGAAAGTAAACTTCTCATTGTTTCGTGTCTCCTTCATCCATAAGAGGATTAAAGCAGATGGATTTCTCGACCCGGGGGGGAGGTTTGGAGCAAAGGGCTGCCCTCCTACCAGTGAATGGCCAACCATTCCCCCCATCCCACATCACTCCTGGAAGATTCGAATCTTAACTTTGCTCCTGTCACAGGACCTGGCAGCGCTGGGGTTAAAAGAACCATGAACGGTTCCAATAACCTAATGACCAAGATGACCAGAATGAGTCTAGCGGCCCAGCCAACACCTCATGCCAATCTGAGCCCCTACTGAATTTTCTGGGGGCACCTAAGGAAGGCTGGGCGAGGAAGGGCTGAGTTCAGAACAGGCAACCATCTCCCCTGGCACCTGGAGACACAGCATCTTCTTGGACACCTGGTTTTCTTGCCTCTCGCTCAATGGAACCACCACTCAAAGTGTAGTTTCTGGCAACTGGTGCCTCCTCCATCATCCATAAGGCTCAGCCGCAGTGGAAGCAGGAACCGGGGTAAGAATTCTCTCTCCGCTACAGATCCAGGCCGTCTAGACCCGTCATTCCCGCCAGCCAGTGGCATTACCCCAACTTCCCCTGAAGACTGCATGATTCCAAACAGACTGGGTTCTGCCTGCGCCATTCCGGGATTTGATATTTCCAGAATGTACCTAAGTGATAGCACAGTGGGTAGGGCGTTTGCCTTGCATGCAGCCAACCCGGGTTAGATTTCCTCCGTCCCTCTTAAAGAGCCCAGCAAGCTACCGAGAGTATCTCGCCTGCACAGCAGAGCCTGGCAAGCTCCCCATGGCGTATTCGATATGCCAAAAACAGCAACAAGAAGTCTCACGATGGAGACGTCACTGGTGCCCGCTCGAGCAAATCGATGAACAACGGGAGGACAGTGCTACAGTGGTACCTAAGGGATAGTCCCCCAAACAGGTCTTCACCCCAGCTTTTTTATTCCTCCCTGAACCCCACCCAAATCACCCATTACCTCGCAATGTCAAGCCATATCAGTTTTCTTCCAAAGAATTAGAAAGTAAACTTCTCTCTGCTACCCTCCTCCCACCTCCAGTCTTGGGGAGCAAAGGGAGAAGAGGGGTCCGAGAGTTACGAATTCTCCACATTTATCAGCAGACGTGATTGTGGACCTTAACCGGATGTCAGCGTTGGGTCAATCTTAGCCCTGGGGGAGGGCGGGACTTGGGGCAGAATGAGAACTGGACTCCTGGAGCTAGCGGAGGAGGTCAGGTCCCTTGTCCAGTCTCAGAGCGGACAGGGGCCCCTTTCGGAGATGGTTCTCGCTGAGGCTAAGGACTCGGGGTCCCATCCAGGCCCATGTGCGATGAATCCTCTCTCCGCCACTTAAGTTGTGTTGAGGTTTAGAAACGTTACATGGACCATGATGGCCTCTTCAGTGAAGATCTCTGGGCCCCAGGGAAGAGAAGGAGGAACAGGAACAGGAGGAGGAGGAGGAGGAGGAGAAGGAGGAGGAGGAGAGAGAGAGAGGTCAGTTTTGTGCCGAAAGGTAGCCTGGGGTTCGGAAAGAACCGAGGTGTCCCTGGAGGTTGCCTTCCTCTGTCCTTGTGTCTCCTTGTATGGCAGTAGGAGAGACCCCAGGCAGAGGGTCAGGTCGGACTGCAGCCCTCTGGGGGTGAAGAAGCTGGCGGTGGGCATGGCGGCGGGGGAGGGGAAGACAGAGGTTTCAGCCAGGGAGAACCTGTCTGAGGCAGCGTCGGGCAGCCTATCCAGAGTCCTGCAGAGTGAGGGGTGGGGTAGCCACGGATGTGGGTCTCATTCCCGAGTTCCAGGGTCCATCGCTCTTTCCATGGCTGCTCTGGGCTTGTCCTGTGGTCCCGGCTTCTGTCGCTGGGGTCACCACCGGGGTGGGGGGTGCTCTATGGGGGCTGGGGGGCCCGCAAGAGCCCCTGCCCCCCAGCGGCTTGCTAGATGACTTCCTGTTTGGTGATGGTGGGCTGGGGGATGGCAGAGGGCGGCTTGACAATGGTGGCGATGGCTCCTGGCAGGAGCTTGTAAGGCTCAGACCCTGAGCCGCCCGGTGGGGAGGGCTGTGGGGTCTCCGGGGTGGCTGTAGGGAGAGAGAAAGAGGCGGGCTGCTCAGGGTGACCCTTCCAGGGAGAAACAGGAGCTCTTCCGGCTCTCGGAGAGCCGACTTCCTCTCTGACACATGAGCGAATGAAACTAAATCGAAGGTCTCTGGTGGCACCAGACTCCTGAGGCCACACTACAAAGTCCAGCTTCTTGGACAGCTGTGACCAGGCCACCTGCAGTGGGTGAGCTACTCGTGCCCATCCTGATGACCCCGACTCCTGCACCGCTGGCTACGGAGACTCCAGTTACTTCTCCCCAGTTAGAACCCCAGCCTCAGTCTCCCCAAGGACAACGAGACAGGCAAAGCCTTTCTTAAAGAGGTATAAACAATGGATGAAGCCCAAGGTTCGGGCTGACTGACTCACAAAATACCAGGTCTTGGGTATTTAGGGAAATGGGTAATGGAAATATATTGGCCCTGAGCCCCCTCACAGACTCAGAAAAATTATGGGGGCCATGACCCAACCTTGTCCACTTTGTTCAAGGAATAACGTTCCCTCAGAATAATCCCAGTGAAATGTTGCCTCATTCTAGCAGGTCTCCTCATCCCAATGACAATTGTCCTCTTTGAAGAGCTTTACCCCAGGACAGGCTCACTCTTGGGAGATTTCACCTCAGAGACACCCCCACCCTGTCAACAGTCTTGTCTAGTTATCTATAGTCCTACCCAACTGGGCAGCCTGACTTCAGTGAACAATTTTACCTCACAGACAACACCCCTTCATGGAATTCTCATCCCTGTGGCCATGTTTGCACAACAGACAAGCTCGCGCCTCCTCTCAAGGACAGCTTCATTCAACAGAAACTCTCTGTCACTGACTAAATGGCCAAACTGAACAAGCAGCCATAGCAAGTGGACACGTTCACCCCCTCGTCCCTTCCCCTGGAGCAGAGGGTACTGTTGTATCTCAGATCCCGTTTTCTGGACCCGACCTTCCCCTGACTGTTCTCCCCGACCCTTACCTACCACTCCTGGGTGAGGAATCGAGTCACTCACCTGCCTGGCCCCTGGGTCGGGGCCACTCACACATCTGTCCGTTGCTGAGGTGAGTGGGCATCGTGTTGGCCACGATGACGTTGGTGCCCATGTGTTCCTGCATCAGGTGGGGGTGCAGGGGGTGATGGGCATGGGGTGCATCACTGGAGGACCCTACAGGGAAAGAAGGAAGTCAGTCAGGAAGGAGAGTCTTGGAGAAGGACCTTGGGCCCTGTCACAAGAGTTTCTCCTCAGTTGTGACCTGTTGGCTTGCCCAGTGACACTAAGATGGTGCCGCCTGTGTTCCAATTTCTCACTTAGTGAGCTGGGGTCTCTTGACCCTCTCTACAGGTCTTGTGAGGATATTGAAAAGGACCCAACCCATCAATAGAAATGAAGCTTTTTGAAGGCGGGGAGAGTTGAGAGGCCAGAGAGATAGTACAGAGGGTCGGGCGTTTGCCTACCTGGGTTTGATCTCTGGCACCCCACATGGTCCCCCAAGCCTGCCAGAAGTGATCCCTGAGCACAGGAGCCAGGAGTAAGCCCTGAACACCACCGGGTATGGCCCAAAAAACAAAACAAAACAAACAGTTATTTGAAGCATCTGATGAAGCTGTGAGAACATTTTAATACTGTAATGACTAGTTTGTTGACTGTTTCTATTAGGCCCATTGCAACAGACAGAATCAATGACCTTCGAAGCTCATTGCCATGCAAGTCCTTCAACCATTTGGTTCCAACTCACCCTTCAGCCCCACCAGCCGCCACACCCACACACCCTGACCTCCTTCCGGCCCGTGTGCGTTCCCTGGAGTCACCCAACTCTGCTCCTCTTCCCATCGACCGCCTTCTCCACCCTCCCCCGGGTCCAAGTTCAAACTCTCACTCAGATGTTTTCTCCTGACTCTTCTCACCACTTCCGCCGGAAGTAAGCCTCTCCTTTCTAAACTTCCCCTGGCTATTGATCTGCTGGAAACCACCATGTCGTCTGTCGGTTTGAGCATTCTAACTAGCGGATGCACTTTTCTTCTCATTGAGAGTCTAGCAGAGTTGCTGAGACAAACAGCCTATCAGAGACCGGCCATGCCAGCAGGGTCATGGTTTAGTGACAGGTGACGGTTACCAACGGGGCTCACTGGGTACCACCGCCTATTTTCAATGATCGCTGATCATTGTGGATTATTGATTTATAGCACCTTTCCCATTTAACGTCTGGGGGGGGGGTGCCTCATTTTTCACCTGTGGTGAGATTGCAGTGCCCGAGAGTGCGCTCATTCTACTCAGGTTTACCTGACAATGAGCATAAGCACCTTCCAGAGTCTCATCTCAGACCCCTGATGCCTAAGAACGCCACAATCACAGGGTCGAGGTGAGAATGAGTCACTTCAGATTTTTTTTTTTGTTTTTCTTTTTCTCTTTCTTTCTCTCTCTCTCTCTCTCTCTCTCTCTCTCTCTCTCTCTCTCTTTCTCCCCTTCCTTCCTTCCTTCCTTCCTTCCTTCCTTCCTTCCTTCCTTCCTTCCTTCCTTCCTCTTTCTTTTGCTTTTCAGGTCACACCTGGCAAGGCTCAGGAATTCCTCCTGGCTCTGCACTCAGGAATTACTCGTGGTGGTGCCCCCGGGGAACTGTATGGGATGCCAGGGTTCGAACCTGAGTCTGTCGCATGCAAGGCAAACACTCTACCCACTGTGCTATCACTCCGACCCCTTCGTATCTTATAGGAACCTCAACTGGGGTAATTTTGACCCCTCCAGGGACTGTTTTGAGTGGGTTTTGGGGGCTGGTGGCACACTCGGTTATACTCAGGGCTTAGGCTTGGGAGCAGTCAGGGGACTGTGTGGGCGCTGGGAATCGAACTCGGCTACAGTGGGCCAGCGTCCCACCCCCATCCCCTGGCTCGGGAGCCGCGGGGGTGAGGCGGGGCGGGGCGGGGCGGGGCGGGGCGTGCTGGCCACACCCACCTCCCAGCAGCATCTCCTGCAGCAGGTTGTCGATCTTGGCCATGCCGAAGAGCTTGATGAACTGGATCTGCTCGATCATCTGCCAGGTGATGCTCTGCAGCGTGGGCAGTAGCAGCAGCAGCTCCCCGAAGCGGCCGCGCGAGTCGTACTGGCGGTCGTTGATGTAATCCTCCAGGCTCACCTGCACCTGCGACCGCAGGCGCTTGATCTTGCCCGGGTCGCTCAGCCCCTTGGCGTCTGCAACGGGAGGGGAGGGGGGGCGAATGTCCCCTGACTCCTGGGTCCCCGACAGAGGGGCCCGACGGAGGGTCTCTGCAGTGCTGGGAGCAGAGTTTGAGGGCCCTCGGGAGCGGGGGTGGGGGCCCATCTAGCTTCTAGCTAGCTGGAATTCCATCTAGCAGCCTGGACAAGGCACGGAAGGGTTGGGGGGGGGGGGGGGGTCACATCTCCTAAAATGAGAAATAATGCAGGGGAGGGGGAGGTGCTGAGGACAGGACTCTGGCAACCTCCCTGCTGTCTTACACAGGGGGACACTGAGGCACCAAGTCGGTTAAGGACTTGACCCAGTTGAGGGCAGAGCTCTGAGTGGACATGGGGAAGCTGACTCACAATGGGGGTCCCTTCACCCTCTGCTTGGCGCATTCTGCTGTCATTTCCTGAATCTCTCCCTTCCCTGATCCCTGAGAGTCTCCGCTGGGTGCCACCTCCTTCAGGAAGACTTCCCTGTTCAACCCCCTTGGAGAGTCCACATAGACACGGTAAAAATGCGGGTGGAAAGGTGGTGGGTGAAACAGGGAGCTGAGGAACAGCAGGGGTCCCCATCCTCCTCACCCAGCTGAGGGAGGGATGAGGAGACACGAGCCAGAGTGCAGGGAGGAGGGGCGGAACATGCCCCGGCAGAGCAGAGTAGAGAGGCGGGAACAGACCCAGGGAGATGGCAGGAGAGTGAGGGTGACCCGCACGACCCCCGCAGATGGAGAAGGAGAGGAACGGAAGGCAGGCTCCTTACGGGGAGGCCTGTCATGGGGGCTCGGGGCACGGCGCAGGACCAGGAGTCAAACCTGGGCTTCCCGCGGGGCTGGAGCAATAGCACAGTGGGGAGGGCGTATGCCTTGCACACGGCCGACCCGGGTTCGATTCCCAGCATCCTATATGGTCCCCTGAGCACCACCAGGAGTAATTCCTGAGTGCAGAGCCAGGAGGAACCCCTGAGCATCGCCAGATGTGACCCAAAAAGCAAAACAAAAACAAAAACAAAAAACACGTGGGCTTCCCATCTGCAGAGCACGTGCCCAGGTGCTTTGAGCTGTCTCTCGGGCACAAACATGCTTTATTTTTCAACCCTTTTGGCTCAGGGAGGGTGCTCATAAGAGGTGCTCAGGAGGGGTGTGTGTGTGTGTGTGTGTGTGTGTGTGTGTGTGTGTGTGTGTAGGTATCATTTCCTATAATACTCAGCCCAACTGTATGAGCTGGGCAGGCCAGTACCTAACCCAGTGATGCCAGGGGTCACCACAGCCACCCTGGAGATGCTCAGGGCGATATCAGGGCGACACTCAGCAGTGCTTGGGGGGGCCACGCAGTGGCAGGAAACTGCCAGGACCTTGCTCCAGCCCACGGTGCCATCCCCGGCCCAGAAGGCGGGGGGCTTCCCTCAGAGATGTTGAAGAAACAGGTCCAACAGTCACCTGTCGCCAGCCCGTGAGCACTTCAGTCAACCCCATGTGACTCCTGGTCACCACAATGCCAGCAGCAACCAGTGGGAGGGGCAGGGGGTGTGCGTCTCCCCTGGGGAGCAGGATCCAGGCAGGAAAGTGGGGTGCGGTGGGCATCTTTGGTTTGTGCAAATATCACTGCAATCACTCTTTCTCTGTTGGTGGGTTTGGTTCTGGGTTTGGGGTCAGGCCTGGCAATGCTCCCGAGTGCAGAGCCAGGGCTTACACCTGGCTCTGCACTTGGGAATTACTCCTGACAGTGCTCAGAGGAGCATATGGGACGTTGGGGATCAAATGGGACTAAGGGAAAGGTTTTCCCCCCTTCTGTCATTGCACTAAAAGGATGACACTGTGGACCCCACCCGGGTGGTCTGGCAAGCGGGTGGGAGGGGGACAGTACCCGGGTCGAAGAAGATGATGGCTTTGAGGCAGGCGTACTCGTTATCGTCGATCTGCAGCTCCTGGAAGGGCAACACCAGCTCATCCAGGATGCGCATGGACACCCGGTTCATCTCTGCCAGCTCCGGGCAGTGGCGCGGGACGATGAAGTCATTGCCTGGAAGGGCGGGAGGCAGCGCGGGTGGGACCCCAGGAGTCTGAAGAGCCTGGCCCCCTCGTTTGAGACAGACCCTCTCCTGGAGCAGCTGGCTGCCTTGAAGGAGTGGACTTTGAAGGAAACTGCACGCCCATTTTACAGATGAGAACGCAGAGGCAGAAAGAGAACAGAGCCAGCAGACAAGGCCTGAAGGGAGGAGAGTTTCCTCCATCCCTTTGTGGTCACCCAAGCGCCATTCCCCAGCATGGCCAGTGGGGCGGCTGGTGCCCAGGGCTCATCAGGAGACCCTGTAGCCTCCAGCTGGGTGAGAGCCTGAGTCTTCAGGTCAGGCCCTGCCGCAAGTGCCTGAAGGCACTCAGGGGGCTGCCCAGGTGAGGGTGGACAGAGCTAACTCGGCTCCGGGCTGCGTCTCCATCACGCCCACCTCTACGGCCGAGAAACTTCCACTTCCGGTGCCCAGGGTGCTGGTCTTTGAGGGGAGCATTGGCGAGTGCAAATATCACTGCAATCACTGTGATCATTGGCGGAGAGTTCCCATCTGTGCCCTCTCCGCAATCACTGTGATCATTGGCAGAGAGTTCCCATCTGTGCCCTCTCCCGGGTCCCCTGCCCCCGAGTGTCCTGGCTCTCACCTAGGAGCAGCACGTCCTTGAACACCATGGATCGCTTCGTGGCTCCGAGGAGCAGGTGCTCGCCCGCGTGGGCTCGGAGCAGGGCCACCTGCAGAGACAGCGGGTGTCTGTGGTCTGCACCCCTGCACGGCTGTTGACACCTAGGAAGGTCCCTCGCAGCCCACCCAGTGCCCTGAGAAATCAGCCCCATACTCCTTCCACCTTCCCCCCCAAAAAACTCTCCCATAAGCCTGGTGACTGCTGTCGCCCTCCCAGCAGGGAGGGTGCCAGGCCTGGCATGGGCCCTGCGGGGGTACTAAGTGCTGGGTCTAAACTTGGGGCCCCATCAAACCACATCAAGGACCAAAATATGCCAGAATAATGATGAGCGTTTAGCACATCCTGAGGCTGAAGTCAGTCCCTTGTGTTCTAGATCCGTCCGTTTTTTTTGTTTGCTTGTTTGTTTGCTTTTTGGGACGCACCTGGTGATGCACAGGGGTTACTCTTGGCTCTGCACTCAGGAATTGCTCCTGGCGGTGCTCAGGGGACCCTATGGGATGCTGGGAATCGAACCTGGGTCGGCCACATGCAAGGCAAACGCCCTACCCGCTGTGCTATCGCTCCAGCCCTTAAATCCGTCCATTTTAACAGTTTGTCTGCTGTGTTTGTCGTAACCATTTTCCTCTGGACGGTTCCAGCAAAAAAAGGGAATTAACTCCGTCATCTCCTCTTGCACTCACTTGAAAATGTTAGTTGATAGTGTTTAACTGGAGTGGATTGATAGAGCTGGAATTTTATTTTTAAGGAAAAGCCACAAGCTAACTTCCATTGAATCCCTTTCCCTTTATTTTATGGAATGTATAATTAGCTGCAGAAAATATCCTGCTTGGGAGCACAGAGTCCTAACATTTCAGGAGATTGTCCTTCATTCTAAACTAAATCACTGTTTTATTTCGATCTGCCTATTTCCTGTGTATTTGTCACGATGGTGCTTGCGTCCTATTTGGTGTACGGAGCAAATAGTTGTGGAAGATCACAAAGAACATTTTCTCTTGTGGGGGTGGGCAGGGGTGGGGTTGGGTCACCCTCAGCAGTGCTTCAGGCTTCCTCCTGGCTCTGTGCTCAGGGATTGCTCCTGGCAGAATCCGGGAACCTTCCAGGGCTGGGAATTGAACTCGCATCAGCCGTGTGCAAGGCGAGCGCCTTAAGCCCTGTACTATCTCTCTGGTCCTTATAAAGTATTTCCAAAAGTACCGATTACTGGGGCTGGAGCAATAGCACAGGGGGTAGGGTGTTTGCCTTGCACGCGGCCGACCCGGGTTCGATTCCCAACTTCCCATAGGGTCCCCTGAGCACCGCCAGGAGTGATTCCTGAGTGCAGAGACAAGAGTAACTCCTGTGCATCACCAGGTGTGACCCTAAAAGCAAAAAATACCGATTATTGGGGCCCTGCTAGGGGAGACTCCGGAGTGGTAGACAGGGGGGCATTTAACCAGCTATCTGGGAGGTCACACATCTCTGCCCCCTTGGCGCCAGGAGTCTGGGATTCTGGGAGGTGAGAAACGGCCTGGATGTTGGTTCCCAAGTCACAGAGGCATACACCCAACCTGGCAGGGGACCAGCCCGACAGGTCCCTCCCTGGCAGAGGACAAGGCTTGGGACACCAAGGAGCCCAGCAGCTGGTATCATGGCCCCCCACCCCCACCCCCCAGAGCTGGCATCCGAGGCAGAGCCCCGCTAGAGAGAGGGCAGCTGGGAACCCCCGGCCCGTGGCTCAGGGACCTTCAGAGCCCAGCCCAGAGGCAAAATGCTGCTGTTCATTCTTTCTAATGTTAAGTGTGCACGGAATGCACCGAATATTCCTGAATATTGGATAGTCACAGACCACAGACTCACGGGGACTCTGACCAAAAAGAAGGACCATGTCGTCAGCCTCTAGTCTGGAGGGGAATGGGGTGGTTTTTGGTTTTTGGTTTTTTAAGGGGGAAAATAAGTAAATGAACCAGAGATGCTTCCTAAAAGTTTTGAGAAGGAAAGGAAGGGAATGAGAAAGACTGAGAGGCAGGAGGGAGGGAGGGAAGAAAGGAGGAAAGAGGGAGAGAGGAAGAAGGGGGAGGGAGAGGGGGAAGGAAGAAGGAATGGAGGAGGAGGGGAAGGGCAGGAAGAAAAGAGGAAGGAAAAATAGTGGGAGGAAGGCACATGGTCAGCATGCGAAAGAGTGAGAGAAGGAAGGAAGGAGGGAGGGAGGAAGGGAGGGAGGGAGGGAAGGAAGGAAGGATGGAAGGAAGGAAGGAAGGAAGGAAGGAGGGAGGGAGGGAGGGGGAGGGAAGGAGGGAGGAGGGAGGGAGGGAGGGAGGGAGGGAGGGAGGGAAGGAAGGAAGGATGGAAGGAAGGAAGGAGGGTGGGAGGGAGGGAGGAAGGAGGGAGGGAGGGAGGGAGGAAAGGAAAGAAGGAAGGAAGGAAGGAAGGAAGGAAGGAAGGAAGGAAGGAAGGAAGGAAGGAAGCCCCCTTAGTCACTTGGGCCTGGCCTTCTGGGGGTCCAAGGACCAGCCCGGACACAAGCCAAGCAGGCCAGTGATGTGAGGGGGGACGCAGATAGGGTGAGGGGCATCGTGCAGGGGACGAGCCTTGTTCGGCAGGAGCCTCCCAGCCCCGGGGTTTGGATCTGGGATGCGGCGGCCCTTCGGGGACAGGGTTAATGATCAGCCTTCGCCACCGGCCCCGTGGATGCGCTCCGAGAATGCTGAGCCCCGGCCAGCCGGGTTTGGGGGGACCGAGGTTAACAATTGCTCAGCTCAGGGGATCAAGCCGGCCTGGGAACGGAGGATTAAACATTAATGCCACCTTCCCAGCGGCGGGGACCAGGGCCAGCTCGCGGGGTGCAGAGGGGACAACAGGCAGCCCTGCCCAGACCCCCGCCCGGCCCCCTTCTGAAGCGGGTCAGAGGCCACTTGAGGCGTCCCAAGAGGCCGAGTGCCACCATGCCAGGTGTCCCCAGCATGCCTCTGCCCCCTGGGACGCAAAGGGCCCCCCAGGAAGGGTCTCCCCGAGGGAACCGAGGATCCCCCAAGCTCAACAGCTGTCATGCCTACAGGCTTCCAGAAGCATCTCTGCACGGCCGGGCAAGGCTGGCTCTGCCACGTCCTCAAAAGGGCAGGAGAAGCAAATGCCCTGGGACAGGCAGTCTGGTGCACAGCTCCGGGCTCCAGACTGGACCCTGGAGCCACCATGGGGGTCGCGGGGGAGGCGGGGGCAGGAGGGATCCAAAGTCTGTGCTCACAACTCCCCACCCCACCCCGCTTTCCATCTCACCCCGGGATACTTTTTTTTTTGCTTTTTGGGTCACGCCCAGCAGTGCTCAGAGGTTCCTCCTGGCTCTGCACTCAAGAATTCCTCCTGGCGGTGCTCGGGGGACCCTATGGGATGCTGGGAATGGAACCCAGGTCGGCCATGTGCAAGGCAAACGCCCTCCCCGCTGTGCTCTCGCTCCAGCCCACCCCGGGATACTTTTGAGACTCCAAAGTAAGCACTTGGGGAACCAATACGCAGGCGAGAGCAGCTTGGGGGGAACCCAGGGGGGAAATGGTATTTGGGGAGGGGACTGCGGTGCGGACTCCAGGAGCCCCGTGATGTGGTTCCTACTTGTCAGGGCAACCCTGTCCTCAATCTCAGCCCCCCACACGGTGAGTGGGAGTCACGTGTCCCAAATCCCAGAGAACCACCAGCCCAAGGGCCAGAATTCAATTCCTGCACAGCCTCGGGTCTGTCGAAACCCTCCACCCGGCCCCCAGGAGAGCGGCCGAGCAGAGGGGTGCAGGGGTTCCGAGGCTGGACTTTGGAGCTCGCCTGCCTGATTCCAGTGGCTCCCGGCTGTGCGACCTTGAGCAAGTGACTCAACCTCTCTGCGCTCTTGCTCCCTCACACACGGGCAGAGGCGCCCTGGGAAGCGTCTGAAAAGGGGGTTGCCAGACACCGGCGGCCTGCCCGACCCGACCTGAGGCCTCACCTGGTCGTCCAGCGGCAGCTCACAGAAGGCGGGGATGTACTTGGCCCACTCCACCAGCACCAGCAGCTGCTCCTTCATGGACTCGCACACGTCGGCGATGCTGGCGATCTTCTTGGCCCGAATGTCTCCGTTGATCCCGGAGACGGGGGAGGTGATCTGGGTGGGGGAGGGGGGCTTGCTGGGGCCTTCGCAGCTGAAGCAGCCCAGGGGAACGAGGAGGAGGGGGAGGCTGGCCAGGACAGAGAGGAGAGAGGCCTCCCCACCCCACCCCTGGACCCCTCCCCTCCTCCTCCACCAGTGATTTTTTATTATTATTATTATTATTTTTTCCTTCTTTTTGGGTCACACCCGGCGATGCACAGGGCTTCCTCCTGGCTCATGCACTCAGGAATTACTCCTGGCGATGCTTGGGGGACTCTACGGGATGCTGGGAATTGAACCCGGGTTGGCCTTGTGCAAGGCAAACGCCCTCCCTGCTGTGCTATCGCTCCAGTCCCTCCACCAGCAATTTAGAAACCTCGGGTGGGGGAGGGCGTTTGCCTTACACAGCCGACCCAGGTTCGAGTCCCAGCATCCCATAGGGTCCCCCGAGCACCGCCGGGAGTGATTCCTGAGTGCAGAGCCAGGAGGAACCCCTGAGCATCGCCAGGTGTGACCCGAAAAGCCAAAAAAAAAAAAAGAAGCCTCGGGTACCCCAGGAAGTGCAAGGCAGAAACTCTCATCCTCAGCACCAGAGCGAGAGTACAGCAGGTAGGACATTGGCCTTGTATGCAGCCGACCCAGGTTCCATCCCCGGCCTCCCGTAGGATCCCTGAAGCACCACCAGGAGATTCCTGAGCACAGAGTCAGGAGTAATAACCCTTGAGCATTGCTGAGTGTGACCCCCAAAACAAAACAAAACAAAAAGAACTCTTTGTTCTAAATCTTCGTTCTCTTTGGACAGGTCGGTAAACCCTGGGCCCAGAGAGGTGCTGTGACTTCTCCGGGGTCACACAGCAAGGGGCCCGCTGGGATGCTGTGTCCGCAGCTCTGGGAAACTGGACTCAGTTTCCCTTCTGGGGCAGGACAGGGATGGAGGTGGCTGCGTACCTGTTGGGACAGGACCTCGGCCTGCAGCAGGGCGTTGATGGACGGCAGGCTGCTGTCCTCGTAGCTGGAGCGGCGAGTGCTGATTCGGTCCCGCTCGTTCTGCACGGCTGCGAGGAGGCAGGGGTGGGAAGGGAGAGAGGATGAGGCCTGGGCGAGGGGCAGGGAGGAGGCTGAGCCCCAAAGGGGTCCCTCGGGGCTGTCGGGGGTGAAGGATAGCAGACAGGGTGTGTCCGGAGGCAGAGCTCAGACCAGCCCGTGGGAAGGAGAGACGGAGTCTCACCCGACCGCGGGAAGCGCTTCCCCATGCATGGGGGTGAGCTGCCCGTCACTGGAGACAGGCAAGCCTGCTGACTCAGCAGGTGGCTCTTGGGGCCTTAGGGGGTCAGGCGTGGAAGCAGCTCTCAGAACTCTGTTTTGGAAGGAACCCCTTTCTTTCTGGAAGAAAGCGGGTCAGACCATAAAGACGGGGGCAGGGGGACCCTGTCCCCTCCAGCTCACTGTCCTAGCCCCAGGGACGAGAACAGAGCCCAGCACAAAGCAGGATGTACGGGGGAAGAAAAAGGCGAGAAGGAGACCAGCTCCTGAGCGTTCTGATGCTGTTTCTAGGAACCCTGATATCCCAGATTCCCATTCCCAGTGGTACTTGGGAACTACTCCTGGTCCAGTGCTCAGGGACCGTGCATACCAGGGATTAAACCTGGGCTTCCTGCATGCAACGCCCCTGCGTGCCAGGCCCTCCCGCCATCTCTCCCGCCCTTTTTTCATCTGGTCTTTGTTTAGATTGCTCCCACGGTGGCAACCAGACAGTGAACGTCAGCTGGGCTGCCAGTGAGACGGAGGAGAGCCCAAGGCGGGCTGGCACCACGGGGTGACCTGAGCACCTCAGGGAGTGATCCCTGAGAACTACTGACCTCCAGCACCACCGGGTGTGGCAGCCCCACAGAGAGAATAAAAGAGAGAAGAAAGAAGGAAAGAGAAAGAGAGGGAGGAAGGGAGGGAGGGAGGAAGGGAGGGACGAATGAAGGAACAAAGGAAGGAAGAAAGAAAAGTAAGACGGGAAGAGCCAGAGTGGGCAGGGCATTTGCCTTCACGTGGCCAACCCAGATTCAATCCCAGCATCCTACTTGGTCCCCTAAGCACCACCAGGAGTAATTCCCGTGTGCAGAGTCAGGAGTAACCCCTAAGCATTGCCAGATGTGGCCCTAAAACAGAGAAACAAAGAGGAAGAAAATGAGAGAAAAAGGAAGAAAGGAAAGAAGAAAAGTAGGGAAGAAGGGAGGGAGGGAGGGAGGGAGGGAGGGGAAGGGAGGGAGGGAGGGAGAGAGGGGGGGAGGGAGGGAGGAAGGAAGGAAGGGAGGAGAGAGAGAGAGAAAGAGAGAGAGAGAGGGAGGGAGGGAGGGAAGGAGAGCGAGGCAGACCCCCCGAGCCCCCGCCCCTCTGTCCCCCTCTCCTGCCCCCAGCACCCCTCAGCAGCTGCCTGGGCGCGGGAGGCGGGCCCATGAAAGGCCAGCCAGCAGCTGCGGCCTCCTCAAGGTTAGGGCCTTATCAGTGCCGCGCGAGCTCAGTCACGGAATGATGTTTTCCAAATGTTTGCTCAGTATTAGCGGGGTCGGGGACCTAATGTAACTTCTATTGAACATTAACCGAGCCAGGCAGAGCAGACACGAGGATGAGCCGGGCTCCCCAGAGAGCCCGTGCCAGGGCCCGCCGGGCCGGGCCGTGGGGCAGGGAACCCCAGGAAGACCCCCTCTGAGGGCCCCCGGCCCACCCCAGCCCCCTGTGTGCCCCCTCCAGTTTCCGGGCTGGGTTTCTGAGGCCGAGAGCTGGACGTTGGCAGGTCGGCTGGTGGAGGCCCAGAGGGGTGTCCCCTTCTAACTCTGGGCCCACCAACTCCCCCAGTTTCTCCCCAGAATCAGTGCCCCCCCATCCCCCCCAGAAACCCACATTTAACCAGCCTGAGTGAGCTTCTGACCGCCATGGGCGGGTCCGAGTGACCAGTCTGGGAATTCACCCAGGAACTTGGGTCCCACCCTGGCCCCAGCATGCCACCTCTCGGGCCTCGGTTTCCCCACCTGGGAACTGGGGAGAGTCGTTGACTTAGAACAGACCCCACTGATCTGTAAATGCTTCGGGGGCAGAGACAGAGTTCAGGAGTGAGACACTCGCCCGGCGCGTGGCTGGCCCAGGGTGGGTCCCCAGCACTGCATACGGTTCCCCAGCCCCTCTAGGAGTGGCCCCAGAGCACTGAGTGAGGAGCGGCTCAAACCCCATCTTCTCAAGAAAATATCCTGCCTGTGAAGCTCAGGCATTTCAGTCCTCGAAGACTGGTTTGGAGCTTCAAGCTCCAAGGCCTCCTGAGGACGGGAAGGAGAGAGACAAAAGCTTGGCCCCGCTCTCCTGGTGCTGCGTCTTGTACTGACTCTCTCACGATTTGGGGGGAATGTGCCGCCAGCAGGACACAGGCATTGGGACTGACAGGCATGGGGAACCGAAATCGGATGTTTGATGCTGCCTTTGCTATTTTGTTTTGGCTCTGGGCTGTGCCAGGGGTTGAGCTTGGTCCTCTCTCTGCAAGGGCTGACCGCTGGGCCTTGTCCCCCCCCACGAGACCCAATAATCAGCACAATGAGACAGGATCAGCACAGGACAGGGCTGGGGAATCGGGTTACGGGTCTCTTCAGCCAGGGGACACTTGGTCATGACTCTGCTTCCCAGAGCCCGCTTGGAGCAGCGGCTGGACACACGGCTATTTGACCCCTTCTCGGCTATGCAGCCCAAAAACCTCGTGTTTGTCCTCTGGCTAACCCAGCATGGACGTGAGATCTGTGGACAGACCCACAGTCGCTTTGCCATCAGCCAGTTCTCCCTCGGACTAGCAAATGCCACTTCCCCCAAGCCAAGAAGGAATCAGGATTTCAGGGTAAGCGGAGGCAGCATCGCTGGGGCGTGTGGGGCTCTTGCCCCTCCTGCCAGGAGACAGGATCTTGAGACAGTGTGGAACTTGGAACAGAATCTCATCTGTGGAATCAAATTTGAGCCTAGGGTGGGAAACCCCCTGTCCTGGGGCCGGAGCGATGATAGTACAGTGGGGAAGGTGCTTCTGCCTTGCACGCTGCTGACCTGGGTTCAATCCCCAGGATCCTGTAGGGTCCCTCTGAGCACCACAAGGAGTAAGTCCTGAGCACAGAGCCAGGAGTAATCCCTGAGCATCAGTGGGTGTGACCCAAAAAGAAAAAACAACAACAACAGAAGTCCCCTCTCCTGAGCCCACCACATAGCCTTGCTCCCCTGCCCAGGGCCATGCCCAGGGGGGCCTGGCTGCAGTGATCCCCAGATGCCTGAGGGGATGCCAGTCCAATAGGGGGACACCGGTCCCGTGGCAGCGGTGAGGAGGCCCAGGGACAAGCTGACACGCCCTGGAGGTGGTGTCTATTTGGACCTGCAGTCTTGAGGGCGTTCATAGACTGTCATTTTCCAACTCAAGACAGGAAGGCTGGAGCCCAGAGGACAAGGAGCGTGGGAAGATGACGCTGGTTGCTTCACAGAGCGCCTAGACCCACCGACTGCCTGCTACCAAGCCACGCACAGCCTTGGAATTGCCGGCCCTTCTCCCACCTGCCGGACACAAGGCCTGGCATCCTACCACGAGGGATTCTCTCTCTCTAGAATCTAACTCCCAGGCCCCCAGATGACCAGCACTGTGGACTCCCACAGCCCCTGAGACATCAGTTCTCCGCCTTTTCCCTACTTCTCCCTGGTCATTCAGGGCTCTCGTTCCCATCCCTGATAACTCTCACTTTGCAAAGTGGGTCTAGCTGGAAGGTGAGCACAGCGAGAGGGCCTCAAGTTCACTGAAAACAGGACGGAGGGAATGCAGGAGACATTGGCCCTTTGAAAGGGCACCTCTCCCAGCTAAGACCCCCAGGGGTGCTGGGGAGGAGGAAGGCTAGCTCACCGCTTCTTCTACAGGGTCCTGGGGCCCAGGTCTTATAGGAAGGAGACAGGGAAATCAAAGGCTCTGAGGGAGAGCCAGGTACGAGCTGCTGGGTCCCAGGATCCTGCTGTGGGCTGGTGCGTGTGCTTTGTGTGTGCTCATGTGTACATATGTGTGTGTGCATGCTCACAGGCTGCAGGAGACCCGGGGCCTGGCTGGCATGAGGGGAGAGAAGGACACAAAGAGATTCAAGCCAGAGCTCGGGAGATTTAGCTCCAGTCAAGCCCTTTGGGAAAGTGGGGCTGGTGGTTTTCTGTCGAATGTCCCTTAGACTATGGCAGCAGAAGGACATGCCAGTGCCCTTCTTACCCGCATGATGGTGAGCTCGAGCCAGAAGCTTGGGGTACAACCCTTGGCTCTGGCATTGACACACCGTGATGCCTCCCCATGGGCTCTCTCTGGGGCACAGTTCCCTGTGGGCTCCCTCTGGGGTGCAGTTCCCTGTGAGCTCCCTCTGGGGTGCAGTTCTCCAGGGCCACAGAAATGGGAGCCAAGAGTGTCTGCCATGGGGGGGGGGGAGGTAAGGGGGTCCAGAGACTGAAAGGTCATGACAGCGGAAGAGCCAGGCGCCATGTTCAGAACGTGCTGGAGCAGAGGTCTGCGACCTTCCCAGCTCCACTTCCCAGGGCCTTGTTCCCTGGGACAGGACTGCTGTGGGTGAGGATGAAGGAATGGAACAATGGGCCCTGGACGCCCAGGAGCAGAGGCCCCGGCTTATCCAGTTCACACTTGCGTGGCTGTCACGCCACTCTCTGCTTTTCCCAGTGGCCGGCCGAGACCAAATCCCCAGCTCGGCCTCTCGTGCTGGCCAGGGCGGCTGCGTGGGGGTGTGGGGAGGGAGTGGATGGCCAACAACAGTGGGAACTTATCTCTCCCAAGCTTTCTCAAGACCCAGCCCAGCCCCTCCCAGTGGTCACATTTCCAGGCCCTCCCTCCTCTCCGCCATTAGCCAGTCACCCTGGGGCCTGTCACCCAGCCATAAAGTTGTAAATGACTCTGCAGGAGCTGTGGGTGCGGGTGGGGCAGCGGGTGGGAAGGGCAGGCCGGGCTCACCTTCCTTCTTCATGCCAGCCCGGAAGCACTTCTTGAGCCTGCAGTAGCGGCACTGGTTCCTCTTGTCTTTGTCCACCACGCACTGCCGGCTGAATCTGGGGCATAGTTGGATGGGGAAGGGTCAGCGTCCCATAATCCCTGTCCAGCCCAGAGCTCTGGCCATCTGGTCGACCCCCAGCCTCCTTGCTCGCACCCTTCAGCCCAATTCTCATGCTAAGGAAACTCTGGACTCGTGTGTGCGTGTGTGTGTGTGTGTGTGTGTGTGTGCGTGTGTGTGTGTGTGTGTACCAACTCAGAGCTCTGGTCATCTGGTCAACCCCCTGCCTCCTTGTTCACACCCTTCAGCCCAATTCTCACGAATTCTCATACTAAGGAAACTCTGGACTTGTGTGTGTGTGTGTGAAGTAAATAGTTTGTATAGGCAATCACACACTCCCATAAAATCAAAGAAAAGAAGGGGCATGCATCGAGCAGGGGAGCAGGGTTGTGGGCAGTTCTGGAAGGGAGACCCCCGACCCCTCCGTGGATTCCTTATGAGCCCACCCTGGCTGTGAAACCCACGAGAATGGAGACTCAGGGAGGCTTCCCAACCAGGGTTGCTCATCCCAATGGCAAAGCTGAGTGGGGGGCCCCAGCCCATTGAAAGCCTGGCCACTATTGTTCTCACCGCATCTTACAAAAGCCCAGCGCCCCCCATGGGCTTCAGGCACAGGTCAGCATCAACACTCTGTCCACATAAAACCACTCTTTAGAGGTTCTGGGGACCTGTGGGGAGCCTGGGCAGGGCCCGAAGCGTCCATCCAAGCTCTGCTACTGACACAGGCTGGGCAAGTCCCTAGATCTTTGCAAGGCCCGACTTCCTCCTCTATAAACTGAGAATAATAGGAACCTGCTCAGGGGGTGTCAGTGGGTGAAAATCGGAGAATATAGGAAGCGTATTCTGTGTGGACACAGGTTTCTGCACAAGGTTGTATGCATAACCCACAGCTGCTCGGATTTTATAGTTGTTCTCCAAAATGAGGGACCATCTTGGCCTTGGAAAGTCCTGGGAGGGGGGCGGATGAGGTGATTCCTGGCGCTGATCGAGGCTGGGAGCTGGGCCTCAGCCCCTCGGTCCAGGGGAGGCTCCATCCACAGCCCAGAAAGTCCCCATGGATGAAGGGGGATCGTAACGAGCTGGGAGTCACATGCATGTGAAGAGGGCCAGAGAGATAGTCGAGGGGTTAAGGCACCTGTCTTGCCCGTGGCCTGACCCTAATTCAAATCCCACCTCCCCCCACCGCCCACACATGGTCCCCTGAGGACAGAGCCCCGAACAGCACTGCCAACACTGCAAGGGTACACTGACACTGGGATTGGAAGGCGGCATCCAGTGTACTCCATCCAGAGTCAGTAACATGGGACCTGAAATAGCTGCTCTCAGATCCACAAGGGTCCGAGAAAGCCAAGGAAGGGCTGGAGCGATAGCACAGCGGGTAGGGCGTTTGCCTTGCACATGGCCAACCCAGGTTCGATTCCCAGCATCCCACATGGTCCCCTGAGCACCGCCGGAGTGATTCCTGAGTGCAGAGCCAGGAGTAACCCCTGTGCCTCACCTGCAGGAGTACATGTGGTTCTTGCGCACGCTTCTCCGGAAGAAACCCTTGCAGCCGTCACAGCTGGAAGCGCCGTAGTGCTTGCCCGTGGCCCGGTCCCCGCAGATGGCGCACAGGGCGCTGACACCCAGGCTGTTGGGCGCGCTGAGGTTGGCGCCTTCCGCCGGGGACGTGTCTGTGCAGGGAGAGAAGAGGCTGAGGACCCTGGTGGGCAGGGGCAGGGGGCAGCCAGGGAACTCCCCCCATGTCGCTGTCTGGGGCCGTGGCCTCAGAACATTCCAGAACATTCTAGAACATTCTAGGCCAGCCCCCCTCCTCCCTGGCCAGGACCAGCTCCATCACATTCTTTGCAATGACCTTGGGCAAGTCCCTGGGCCTGGAGGGTCCCGGGAGGGCCTGTGAGGGCATCTTCTGCTGGGGGATGAGTGTATCCTGGGCTGTCTCAGGGAAGTGGGACCCTGACCGCCAGCTCCAAGGGGCATCCCTGGCTCCAGCCTCGCTGGACAGAGGAGTGGGATCGGGGGTGGGAGGGGGCGGCTGCTTCCCCTGCGCACCAGGCCGTGTTTCTCTTTTCTGTCTGAAGGCTCTGGGTTCCCTGGGCACCGAGGAGAGTGGCCTGCTCCCATTCCTGGGGTGGCAGGGATGGGGCACCCACCCACCCACCTCCTGTCCACATCTTTGTACACAGCAGAGCAGAGCGACTTGATCCAGAGGCAATCTCGGCACTGGGGGCCTGGCCCAGCACAAAGGCGCCCACTGACCGGCCTCTGACCCGGCCAAGCTCCCTTTCCTTGCTTCATGTTGCGGGCCTCAGTTTCCCTAACAGTCAAGGGGGCACTCTGATTCATTCACTTCTTCTCCATAGTTGTGCTGATTCTTTTTTTTTTTCTATGCCAGGGATCACCTTCCCTAACCCCCCGCCCCCCCCCCGCCCCCCCGCCCGCCAAGGCCTCACTCATGCCAGGCCATTAAATTAAATAATTAAATTAAATTCTCAGCCTCAGTGAATCTTTTCCCGAGGCCAGACCTTGAAGATGATGACGGGCGCTGTCCATCTCCCCAGGATGGGCCCGTTCACGCACACGCACACACGCGCACACACACACATGAATGCACACACACACACACATGCACACATGAATACATACAGACGCGCGCACACACACACACACGTGTCCCTAGGAGACTTGGGTCTCTCTCAGTCCCTAGGGGCCTCCCGGTCCTTAGCCAGAGAGGACAGAGAGCTGTGACCTCGGTTCTGCGGCTTGTCCTCTTGTGAGACAGCAGCTGCATCCCTGAGTCCCCTTATAGCAGGAGCGGGGGGGGGTTGGGGGGGGGAGGACAGCTGTGCCCTGGGGCGCTGGGGAGATGCCCTGGGGCTTGAAGGAGGAGCTGGCACAGAGGGAGGCCCGTGCACACGCCTCTCCAGAACAGGACCCCCAGCCCCGAGGGGCCCGGGAACGGGGCCCCCACCACTTGGTGAATTATTCCCGGAGATGGGGGTAATTGTTAAGCTGCACGGATGCCCTTTCTCCCCCAGCCTAACCTCCCCCCACCCCCACCCCTGCACATCCCCGGGAGTGCTGGCCCCCCCACCCCCCGCAGCTGCCAGTCACCTCACCGGGGCAGCCATGAGTGCCGCGGAGTGAGTGTGGAGGGAAGGGGCTCCCCCCGATGGAGCAGGACGGGCTGGGGGCTCCCTGCAGATCGTCTTGGGAGCTGCAGACAAAGCATAGCTGGGAGGGCCCTTGTCTTGGAGGCGGATGACTCGGGTTCGATCCCCGGCATCCCATAGGGCCCCCCCAAGCACCGCTGGGAGTCATTCCTGAGTCCAGAGCCAGGAGAGACCCCTGAGCCTCCCCAGCTGTGCCTCCAACAGACACTCCCCACCCCTGCCCAAAGGCACGCCAGCCCACCCCAAGGAGCAGCCGATCCCCCACTTTCTCCGGGTGGGAAGAGGGGGCCTCCCACCCACAGAGGAGCTGGGTCGTGGCCCCTAGGGCTGGCTGACTCTGGCCAGGGATGCTCGGTGGTGTCTGCTGGGATGTGGGCCTGGGGGGGGGGGGTGCTTCTCAGAAGAGCTAACCTCAGAACCTCAGACCACCAGCCCAGGACACACAGGACACGTGATCTACGTCCCAGATGCCTGGATATCTGCTGGGAGCACACAGCCCGTGCAAGGGTCCTGCGGCACCCAGACCTGCTTGCTCCTCTGGTGCTTACACACACTTAACAGGGCCTTGACAAGGGCGCAGCTGGCTGAGGGCTCGCAGCGAGGGTGCTCGGTGTAGGGCCCAAGGCCGTCCTGTCTGCAGGCCCCCAGACTTGGCAGTGGTGATTGGGGGTGTACACAGGGGGACCCTGTACAACAGCAGCTCCTTCTCCACCACTGCTAGCACATGCTCCGCCCCCATCCCTCAAGGGATACCCTGACACCCCAAAAAGCCGGCCAGAGCCTGGGGGCGCCAAGTCCATAGACCCCAAGGTCACAGGGTCAGAGACTGACCGTGGGCACTGCTCAGCCTCTGCCGGGTTGGGCCCCCGCCGGGCGGAGGGTCATGGAGGGGCGGCAGGGGGCAGGTTGACCTCAGCCCATCCCCTGCTCTGAGGCTGGCTGGCCTGGGACCAGCTCGGGTCTGAGCCCACAGGGGGCTTCCTGGACTTCATCTCCCCCCTACACACACACACACACACACACACACACACACACACACACACACACACACATCTCCTGGGAAGGGGGGGAGAGGAGGTTCCCCCCCTCCCACACGCTCCCATCAGGGAACCGGTGTGAACCCTAGGGAGAGACACACCCAGCCAAAATCTGCTCCCAGACAAGTCGGGTCTCATGTGGGCAGGCGATGGTGATAGGGCCCGCACACGGGCGCCTAGTTCTGTGTCACCAGGGGCGCCAGCTCCCTGCTCCACCGGGGCAGCCCCCAAACACAGGCAGCCCCGTGCGACAACCCCCTCATGCAAACCCAGAAACACACACACACACACACACACACACACACACACGAGACCCCCGGCCACAGATGTACTGTGTCCCCGGAGCCAGAGGACAGACCCACCCTCTGCTGACCCAGAACACCGGCCTGACACAGAATTCCCCCACCCCCACTGTGCTCACCCACCCTGACACCCCGCAGAAGCCCCTCACAGGAGCAGCGCACAGAGGTGGCAAAGCCCCTTATGAAGTTCTCCCTTATCTCACAAGTGGGGCCTTCGCCCTGGGAAAGCCCCAGAGACGAGCCCTCGGGCACTCGAGATGCCCCATCGCGGCCTTTCCAGCCCCTGGACCCAGGCTTGGGGGTGCAGAAAGGCGCCCCAGGCTCCGGAACCGGGTGAGAGGGAGCCCCATCCCCACGCCGGCCAGTTTCCCGTCCCCCGAGACACACCGAGTGGGGGCAGCCCTGGGGTTCCAGGGGTCCGGAGACCGGAAGGTGTTACAAGGAGGCCCCTCACCTGGGACACCGCTGGCCCTGGGCACTGGCCATATCTGCTCTGCCTGGAAGCCTCGAGGCCAGTCCAGGGATCCGACTTCGCGTTTTCTTTGATGACACTCCTGGTCCCCCAGGAGTGACACATCCCTGTCCAGTACCCTGGAGTGGCATGGACCCACTCGCCCTCCGGCCTGTCTCGCCCTGTGTGCCCGGGATGGGGGAGCCTGGGTGCCCCTGTCCACACCTACCATTGCCCATGGCCAGCACCTGCACGTTCTCGAACTCCAGGGTGGTGTAGGCCGGGTCCAGGGCGGCGCTGTAGTCGGCCATGTCCATGTCGACCAGGGTTTTGGAGAGACGCATCCTCCCGCTCACAGCCCGCTGCCCGCCCTGCCCACGGTGCCCACCCGAGGCTGCCGGGCTGAGCCCGCCCCCGCCCTGGCACTGCCTTCCTGCCTCAGGCCGCCCTCCTCCTCCTCCTCCTCCTCCTCCTCCCCCTCCTCTTCCTCCTCCTCTTCCTCCTCCCCCTCCTCCTCCTCCTCCTCCTCCTCCTCCTCCGAGGGTCTGCCTGAGTCTTGGCTCAGCTTGGGGAGGCAGTGGTGGCCGACGGGGGAGGGCCAGGGGGGTTAATGGTTAACCAGCTCCCCCACTGGTGGACCGGCGGGGCGGGGCCCTGGGGATTTGGCTGTTTGTTGGCTTCTGACTGACACCCGGGGTGCCATAACCAAGGGGAGGTGGGGGGACGTCCTGACTCACCCATTCTGGGTCATCGACGGCCCAGCATTCATTCCTGGACCCCTGCCTCACGCACTTGCCCACCCATCACCCTGGGTCAGGCACCTAGCCCCCCTTCTCCAAGACCCCCCCAATTCCACAACTCCCCGAATCGTTGACTTCTCCCCTCAAAAAGTCTGGCAGAGATAAGGCGACCTCATAGCTCGTGGATTAGAAACCAGAACCCATGGCCTCACATACCGAGGTTCTGGGTCCTTCTAGAAGCCTCCTTCCTCTTCCTGCCTCGCGCAGAAGAGACCTGGTGGTCAGTGGGGCTAGTTTCACCCCCACTGCTTCCCAAGACCCCCAAGGCCACCACCAGCCCCGAGAGACTCCGTCTCCCTCCCTTGCCGCCCCACCCCCTGGGACCTGGATTTCCATTCAGGCGCCCGCCACTCACTAATCGCGACTCTGGGTCAATTATTCTCCTCTTAGAGCCTCAGTTTCCTTCCCTGGAAAATGCACCGTCAAGCTCCAAGGGAGGGTGGAGCATTCGAGGGGGCGGCCCAGCGGAATGTCACACCAAGGGGAGCCCGGCAAGCACTCCTGCCCCTCACTGCCCTTCCCTCGGGGTCCTCACGGCCAGGCCAGCAGGGAGCTGCAGGGTCTGGGGGCTCCCGGCTCTTGACCTGACTTGTTCTGCTCCGCCATCGCGGCCTTCTCGGCGCTTTCTGCGCGAGGGGCCGCGTTTCCCTTCCCCGCTGGATGGACCTGAAACTCCCCAGCTTGACTGCTCACCTGAGCCCCCAGCTCAGCGCCGTCCCCTTGCAAGGGCTCCTGGGGTGTGTGGACCACCGTGTGGTACTCAGGGGTCACCCCTGCCTGACTCTGCGCCCCCTCCGAACTCCCTGGCGGTGCCCGGGAGACAATAAGGGAGGCCGGGAGCACCTCTGCTGGAGCACTGGGTCGGGGGAGAGAGCTGCAGCAGAAAGCAGAGAGCACCCAGAGCCAGCGTGGGGCTCAGGGGACTGGGCAGAGCAGGGGTGCGGGGGGGGGGAGGGGTAGTTAGCAGGTGATTTGGTGAGACACAGGCAGGGAAGGAGTGAGGGCTGTAGTGAGTAAGTGGGGGGATGTAGAGAATGGGGGGGAGTGGCGATGGGGGAAGTGGGAGTGGGAGGCTGTAGTGAGTGCGGATGGAGGAAGGGGTGAGGGGTAAGGGGTGCGGGGAGTGTGGGAGTGGGAGTGGAGGAAGGGGTGAGTGGGTGGGGGCTATGGGGATGCCGTGGGGGCCGTCGCGAGTGGGTTGTGGGGAGGGGGTTGTCTGAGGGAAGTGGAGTGAGTGGATTGGGGGGTGAGGAAACGGGAGTGAGCCGCTGTGGTGAATCCATGGGGGGTTTAGGTGGAGACCCCCTAGTGGAGACTCCTCGTTCTTCCAGAACCTTCTCCGTCTGCACAGCCTTGCCTCCTCCCCTCCCCCTGACCGTGATAAGGGCGAAGGCGAGTGTCCGGATTGGTCAGGCCTGTCACTCTCCATCACCTTACTTAGCCCATTCCTCTCTCAGGGCCTCAGTTTCCCAGTCATGCGCCGGGGAGCGGGGACCTCAGGGAGAGTCTGGGGGAGCAGCGTGACCATGGCCCCTCCACAGCACGACCCACCCCGGGGACAGCTGACCCCGTGCCCGTGGCCTCGGGGATGGCGCTGGGCTGGGAGGGAGACGAGGCAGACTCGGGCACTGACACGCCACAGCCGGCCCCACACGTGACAGAGCGACTCAGGTGAATCCATGAGGGGTTTTGGGTGGAGACCGAGTGGAGGCTCTCACCCTTCACAGCCAAGGATGACCCCTGAGGAGGATTCTGAGGAGGGCGGTGAGGAAGAGGACCGGGCCCCAACGCCGCCTTGCGAGCTATCACACAACCCTGGGCCCAGGAAACCCACATGCGGCCAGTGGCTGTGCGGTACGCCCACACGCTCACTGTCCTCTCTGGGGGTTTTCTTGGGGCCTGACTGGGGCCTGTGACCGTTGCTCAGGGAACTATACGGGGAGAAGTCAGACTCAAGGCTCCACACGCAAAACGTGTCCCCCAACCCTTGCCCCCTGCCTCCTGGCTCCCCCTTTACCACACACACACACACACACACACACACGCACACAGATACACACACTCACACACAGACACACTCACACAGACACACACTCATACACAAAGACACACACAGACACACACTCACAGACACACAGACACACTCACACATCGATACACAGACACACACACAGACATGCACACACACACACATATAAACATACACACTCACACACAGACAGACACAGACACACACCACTGCCTCGGAGGGACTCCCAGAATCCTCTTTGGTGCCCACTGCGTTGCCCCTTACCCTGAATCCAGGAACGGTCACATGGCTGACGTCCCCACGCCTCCCCCACCCCGTCCTCTCTCCTCCCTACACAGCCTCACGATGCCCCCTGGCCTGGGCTCTGAGGTCACCTTGGTTCTCTGGTGTAAGATGGACCCACCAGGGCCGGAGACTGACAGCACCGTGGTGACGGGGCCGGCCCAGCGTGCACCGGACGTGGCACCACATGGTCCCCTGAGCCGCAGCCATCATAGCCCTCCACTCGAGCACTGCTGGCTGGAGCAACGTCCAGCCTTAGGTCTCACACTGAACTGCGTACCCGGCGTGGCTGGGAGTCACCGAGGGGGGACCGCGGCCCCCTGAGCAGCTCCCCAACGGATAAATCAACTCAAAGGTCTAGATGGGGGGCTGGAGAGATAGCACAGCGGGTAGGGCATTTGCCTTGCATGCGGCCAACCTGGGTTCGATTCCCAGCATCCCACATGGTCCCCTGAGCACCGCCAGGAGTAACTCCTGAGTGCAGAGCCAGGAGTAACCCCTGTGCATCACTGGGTGTGACCGAAAAAGCCAAAAAAAAAAAAGGTCTAGATGGACCCTGCCTAGGTCATGTCGGCTGTGCCTGGTTCCCCCTCCTCGCAGGGTGCCGGCCTTAGAGTCAGACAGTGCTGGCCACTGGGGTGTGGCTGTGTGTCTGAATTCCTGGGGTGCATCTCCTGCACCCTCCAATGCCCACCCCCCCCTCCGCTGGGGTTTGAACACAGCGCTCACGTGTGCCAGGCGTGTATGCAACCACGGAACCATGCGGTCCTGGACACAATTTTTCCCCCATCGTAAAAGAAAGAACAGGCAGCGCAGAGAAATAGGACAGCAGGTGGGGGCTTGCACAGGGCTGACCTGGGGTCCATCCCCTGCGCCCTGTGTGGTGCCCGGGCCCTGCCAGGGGTGACCCCTGAGCACAGAGCCACGACTGATCTCTGAGCACTGCTGGGTGTGGCTTAAAACAAACAAAAGAGAGGACCAAGGAGGGGCTGGGCCCGAGTGAGGGCGCCGCGGAGAGGGCGTTTGCCTTACACGTGGCCGAACGGGGTTCGATCCCCGACATCCCAGGTGCTCCTCGCCGTGCAAAGCCAGGAGTAACCCCCTGAGCATTGCCGGGTATGGCCAGGAGCGAGTCCCAGCTGGGGCTGGGCTTATCCAGCAGTAGCACCGGGAGTGGCCCCCAAACCACAGAGCAAACCAACAATTCAGAGTCTGTGTCAAAACCCAAACACTGCCGGCCGACCAGCTGAGACTCTAATCTACTCGCGGCCTTAGTCACTGGTTCAGATCAGTGGGGTGGCCAGGAGTGACCAGGAAGGGGGGGATCACCAGGTGAAGGGGGTCCATGGAGGCCCCCAGGTTCAGACCCACTGGGGCAGGGGTCACAGGCCTATTGGAAGGGTCACGGACCCATTGGGGGAGTCATGGACCCACCTAGGGGATCACAGGCCTATTGGAGGGGTCATAGGTCCACTGACCACATCATCTGTGGGCAGGGGGTCCTTGCCCCAGTCCACCTGGCGCCCACCCAGTGGCCACCCTTCCAGCCGCTTGGACACAGCACCCAGGGGAGCCGAGAGCCCGAAGCTACCCCGTTAACTCCTCTCTTTCCTGCTGTCGGGGACAAGGGTTCGGGAAGGGGGCAGGGAGGGGCCGGCTGACACCAGAAGCCCATGCCTTGTGGGACCCCAGCTGTGGCCCGGGCAACCACCTCCGTAGGGACAGGGGCTAACATGCCCTCTCATTCCACCCTACGAAGGAGGCAGATGTTTCTGGATGATTCTCTGCCATTCCCCTCCGTTTATCCGTAATACGCTGGTCAGGGTCCCACAGACCAGCCTCGTGGCAAGAGAAGGTCATGGGGAGGGGCGTGAGCCTGTCTCTAGAACTGAAGGGGCCCCCCGCCACCCCGAGACCCAGGAAAGAGCAGGGGTGTGGCAAGACCCCCTCTCGCATTCCGGAAACCCCGTCCCAGAGAGCTCAGGCTTAGCCAGGGCCTCCGAAGCATCCTCCAGGGTACAGCGTCCCTGGGGTTCCCCAGCCAGGGGAGGGTTGTGGGGAACCCAGGACTTATCAAGACAGAGAACAAAAGTCGTGGGGGAGAGAAGCCAGGAGCCGGCTCTCCTCCGGGGTAGTCCTCTTCAGCTTCGCCCCTTTGAAATTTCAAATTCCAGTTTGTGGACAAAGTCCTAACTTTCCCACAATATATGTCCCCAAGCCCGAACAAATTCCAGTCCAGCGTGCGGGCCCAGGGCTGCTCCCTCTGGCCGCTCCCGGGGAAGGGGCCCTGGGACCTCTGGCCGCCCAGCGCGTCTCCCAGGGGCCTCTCTCTGGTCCCCTCGGACAGAACAGCCCCCGACCTGAGCCGGCC